CTGAATCAATGACCCAAGACTCAGAGGATGAAGATTGGGAGAAACAAGTCACGCTATTACCTGCTTGAACAACAGAAGCTATCTCAGAAGATGTCTGCTTACATGCTTTATTCTGAAGGAACTCAATATACTCTGCTAAAGAAACCATCCGACTATTCAAAGCATCGGTTCCCATGTCGCTACATTTTGTAGTAGTATGGTTAACTTGAAATAGTGGAAATAAGTAATTCCTGTGAGAAAACTGAAAAAATAGCTTGAAAAACACTGTTTACAGCAGGAAAATAGAACACTTTCTGTGCCGGAAACACTGTTCACGCCGGAAACACTGTTCACGCCGGAAATACTGTAGCTCGCCGGAAAATTCCAAAGTTGTCGGAATTTGTTGTAACCAGGATGGATAGACTCGGAATTCCTTTGCGAGCAAGTTGTCCTGAAGAAATATTTTCAAAAAATGGCCAGAAAGGTCACTGTTCACGCCGGAAAAATATAAAAGTGGCCGGAATTTGATTTGAATTAGATGGGTAGGCTCGGAATTTTGAGGAGAGCACACTGTCCTGAAGAAGCTTCGCGAAAAAATGGCCGGAAAGTGGCCGGAACCCTCGCCGGAAAAGTTGTTGCCGGCGCGTGGAGGAGCGTGGCGGCTTTTCTGCCGGATAAAATTTCAGGGGTTGGTAGTCGGAGGGTGATCTACCTCGTGGTGGTGTTGGTTTTAGCACAACACCGACAGAAAGTGACTTTCACTTAGACAAGCCTTAGGTCACCGGAAAAATTACACGATGACTAAGTTCTTTCTTCCCGGTTAACGCTGGAATGACGCACAACGATCTTTTCTCACTAATGCTCTGATACCATGTGAGAAGGCACGGGAGAAAATATGTTATTGATATTGGATGATAAATACAATACAAGAGGTCCCTATTTATAGCTATACACTACAAGGAGATATTACTCCTCTTCCAATGCGGGACAAGACTACACTATACATATCTATAAACTAACACTATCAATCACTATACTTTTTTTTTGCTGCTATTGATAGTGTATATAGAAGCTGATTAGAGATCTTCATTGTAGGCTCTTTAAGTCCTTTCCTTGTCTTTTATTTTTCTTATGCCATCTTCTGATGACAGGTGAGAGCTGCTCTGTTGAAAAAGAGCTTGATGCAACAACTGCTACAAATGCAGTATACCAGGACAAGACAAACATCCTCTTTTCTGTAAGTTACTAAAACCAGTCCTGTGGAGTATACTATGTAAGGGGAGCTTAGAGCATGAATTTCTTAAAATGGTACATCATGCTGATGTCATTGACCATGTAATGTGGGAGATGATAATACTGTGACTTGATTTATTCAGCTTGAAGAATGTTTAGCTTTGCATGTTTGATTTAAAAATTAGAAGTATTTGCGAGTGAACTTTCTATCGGTTGAAGAAGCGCATCCTTGAATTTGTGGGATGCTAAAGAGTGCTGAGATTTACCTTTTTACTTAAGAGACATGTCAATAGGTCGAAAACTCTTGTAGATATAGAGACCCTGAACAGTTTGCTTATGTAAGATGACTTTAGAAATCTACTGTCTTTTTTTTGTGGTAAAATGGGAATATTGATGACTTGCTTGGGCTTGTTAAGTTTGCATCTTCTTCACTGGTCACAAGCTCTTCCACTTTTCACCATTTGTAGGTTTTGTGGTATTAACTACTATCTTGAATCTTCTTCCCATTTGTGACTTTCTCTTTTTCTTAAATTATTCTTAATAATTATTGTTATTACTAAAAATCATTGTTAACTTCAAATTAAGTAAGTTCTAAATCTATAGTATTTATTTAGAAAAATGAAAGTTTTCACACTTGGAGATTTCTCCTTATCAAAAATAAAAATAAAAAAAGAAATTTTGATTCTGGATGATAGACTGCTCCACCCCAAAAAATCTGGATGATAGACTGAAAATTGATCAGTTAACCCTCATAAAGTCTTGGGATGAAAGAATAGGTAGACATCATTTAGAACCTGCAACTGAATAAAGATGATGGAAAACAATTAACTTCTGGTTATAATGTCAAAGACATTTCTTTTGTTATATGTAATAATTCTTTCTTCAGAAACTTGTTTTTAGTATGTTGTTTTAGCCATAGCTGGCTGCTTAAAATAGTCTTCGAACATGGCAATGTGATAAATTTCTGTTTTGATGGCCAGGGCACTACAGTGGTCGCTGGAAGGGCAAGAGCTGTTGTTATTGGGGTTGGATCTAATACTGCAATGGGCAGTATACGTGATTCTATGTTGATGACGGAAGATGTGAGCTTTATACGTTGACCCGTACTAACAATACCCTTTGTTTTGGTATAACAGTGATTTGCTGTCTTGTTGTTGCAGGAGGCGACACCATTGAAGAAAAAGTTGGATGAATTTGGTACTTTTTTGGCAAAGGTGTGTATTTATTTCCTTTCCAGATACAACTTCTGAGATGATTTTGTTATTCCTAGATTTTACCTTGATGTAAAAACCTGTAGATTGAACCCCCTCAACCTCTTGTTTTTTTACTTCTTATGTACAGTTTTGAATAAAAGCCCTGACCCCAGTTGTGCACTATGCATAAATGAGTAGGATTTATTGTCTTAGTTTCATTATATTTATATGACCTGGTATGATTATTTCTGTTGCTAATTGTGAGAGATGAAACATACAATGGAGAAGGATTGAGAAATGTATTGCTTGATAATTCTCCTAAGGTAGTCTATGTTTAAATAATACATACACTTATTCTAAACTAGGAAAGAAATCAAGGCTACATAATTACAATTAAACTAATATATCCATAGTCAATTCTAACTAATGTACTGAATATTCTCAACACTTCCTCGCAAGCTGGTGCATACAAGTCATATGTACCCAAGCTTGTCACAAAGGTATCTAATTCGATGACCAGTAAAGGACTTGGTAAAAATATTTGTAAACTGATCGTTTCATGTCACAAACTTGTGACAATGTTTCCTGAGAATATCGCCTGACAAGTAACAGCCGATCTCTATGTGTTTAGTTCTCTCTTGAAACATCGGATTCTACGCAATATGAATAGCAACTTGATTATCTCACACAAGTTCCATCTAACGGATTTGTTCAAACTTCAATTCTTTAAGCAATTGCTTGATCTAGACTAGCTTTCTGGTTGCCACAACCATTGCGCGATAGTCTACTTTTTCACTATATCGAGCAACCACACTATGCTTCTTGCTTTTCCAAGACACGACATTACCTCGAACGAGAATTCAATATCTAGAAGTAGACCGTCTATCAAATGGTTATTCTGCCCAATCTGCATCTATATATCCATCAATCTACTCGTGTTCTAGATCCTCGAAAAGCAATCATAAGGCTGATTTTACTGAAGAACACATACAACTACATCCAAATGAATGTTGCTTGGGGAGTCCATAAACTGAATTACTACACTCACTTGAAAGTCAATGTCAGGTTGAGTCACTATGAGGTAATTCAGCTTACCAATTTTCCAGGATCATTATAGGGCTTCCCCACTCTTGGCAGAAGCTTAGCATTCGGATCCATAGGAGTATCAATTGGTCTATAATTTGTCTTTTTTGTTCCTCTAGAATATCCATAGCATACTTACATTGTGAGATGACAATTCCTTATTTGGACTGAGCGGTCTTCAATGCCTTGGAAATACTTAATTTGCCTCGATCCATTGTCTGGAAGTGTTGGCAGATCTTCAATTTGCTAATACCATCCTAATCATTGCTCATGATAACTATATCATTAATGTAAACTACCAAATAAATACACAGATGTGGAGCAACATACCAGTAGAATATAGAATGATTAGCCTCACTGCAAGTCATATCAACCTCCTGATATAACCATGTTGAACTTACCAAACCATACTCGAGGAGATTGTTTCAAACCATATAGAGACTGATGCAACTGGTGTACAAGACCACTAGATTCCTCGTGAGTAATAAAATTGAGAGGTTGCTCCATATATACTTCATTCTCAAGATTGCCATAGAGAAAAGCATTCTTGATGTTCAATCGATAAAGAGGCCAATGACGAACAATATGGATAGAAAAGGCAAACAATTGCAATTGTAGCCATGGGAGAATGTATTACTGTATTCTAGTCCAAAAATTTGAGCATAACCTTTGGCCACTAGATGTACCTTAATTCCATCAATTCTGCCAACTGGGCCAACTTTAACTGCATAAATCCATCAACAACAAATAGTAGATTTACGTAGAGGTAAATGAACAAGTTTCCAAGTACCACTAGAGTGTAAAGCAAGTATCTCAATCATAGCCTATCTCCATTTTAGTTGAAAAGGTGTGAATGAAAATTGCAGACAATGTAAAGGTGCGAATGAGAACAACAAAGTGAGTTTGTATTTCAACACAAAAAGTCTGGATAATTGATACTTCGAATAATCTTTCATTAAGAAATTCAAAGTATACCTTGAATAATCATCGATGAACTAACGGAGTAATGGAACCCCAAAGAAGAGCCGGCTCGACTAGGACCTAAACATATGAATGAACTAAAGAGAAAGAAGACTTTGCATGATTATCAAGGCAACGAGGGAAGGAAGCGTGAGTATGCTTACAAGTTGACATGACTCCTATTCTAAGGTAGACAAGTTACACAAATTAGAAATAGACCAATGAGGATGTCCTAATTGTCCATGAAGTAACTCAGGCGAGTTGGAAATAAGACAAGTTCTGTTGATCTCGAAAGATTAAGGTTGTAAAGTCCATGTGATTCGTGTCCAGTACCAATTTCTGTCCCTTACTACAATCCTGTATAACAACAGAGTTATTGAGAAAAGTAACGGAACTATTAAGAGACCGAGACAAATGACTAATGTATATTAGATTAAAGGGGCAACCAGGAAGATAAAGAACTAAGTTTAAAGTCAAAGAGGGCAGTAAGGAAGCTTGACCTGCACTAGTTGCCATGGTTTGAGATCCATTGGCTAATGTAATAGCCTGAAGAGATTGAGAATAAGAATTAGAAGTAAAAAAGAAATTTATTACCAAAAGTATGATCAGAGGATCCTAAGTTAGTGATCCAAGACCCAATAATGTCTCCTATGGTTGTATAGTTGGCATAATTTAGCTCCTGTAGATTTTGTCCTAAACCTTTCGGATTTTTGTCAGCTCTTTAGCTCTTAGAGCTTTTTTGTTTCATAGCTGACTCTTTTATTATGTACTCTCCCTCTTATGTACTTCTTGCATCTTCTCTATGCCATCTATAAAATTCCTTTACTTCATAAAAAAGGTCCCAATAATGGAAGATTGAGAAAGTTAAGGTACAAGTTTACCTGTTTGGACAACAGATGTGATTTCTGAAGATGTTTGTTTATGTGCTTCCTTATACTTTAAGAAACTCAGTGTATTCCCATAAAGGAACCTTGTTAGAGTTCAAATCACCAGAATCCCTGTAGCCGTGGTTTTCAATTCTTGTTAACATTATTGAACTGAGCAGGACCAAAATAGAATACCTGAGATGCAAGATCAGTGACAGGACTCATGAAGCGGACGTGGATGTGAAGCTTGATACTCAAGTCATCTCCAAGAGAGGTAGTTTCAAGTATCTCAGGTCTATAATCCAAGTTAACAGGGAGATTGACGAGGATATCACACATCGTATTGAAGCGGGGTGGATGAAATGGAGGCTCGCATCCGGTGTTTTATGTGATAAGAATGTGCCACCATGACTAAAGGGTCAGTTCTACAGAGTGGTGGTTAGACCGATTATGCTGTATGGGGTTGAGTGTTGGCCAGTCAAGAACTCCCATGTTCAGAACATGAAATTAGCAGAAATGAGAATGCTGAGATGGATGTGTAGGCATACCAGGAGAGATAAGATTAGGAATGAAGTTATTCCGGACAAAGTACGAGTGGCCCCCGTTGAGGATAAAATGCGGGAGTCGAGGCTGAAATGGTTTGGACACGTGAAGAGGAGAAGCACAGATACTCTTGAGAAGAGGTAGAGGTAAGCCAAAGAAGTACCGGGGAGAGGTGATTAGGCAGGACATGACGCTGCTTCAACTTATTGAGGACATGACCTTCGATAGAGGATGTGAAGGTTGAGAATTAGGGTTGAAGTTTAGTAGGTAGTCGAAAGTTTCCCCTTCCCTTACTAGTAGTATTAGTAGCACTCTTGTATTTTCATATTCTTAAATCTCTATTACTTCCTGTTGTTTCGTTCACTTTAGTTATCTTATTTTACTGTTGTTGTTCCTCCTCCAATTATCTTATGTAGGGGTAAGGTTTGCATACGAACTGCCCTCCCCAGACCTCCACTTGTGGGATTATACTGGGTTAGTTGTTAACACAATTGAACAAATGTTGATAAAAAAATTACTTCAGAAAAAAATTATTCTTCTTTTTCTCTTCCTTTTTTTCACCTTTGCTGAGTCGAGGGTTTATCGGAAACAACCTCTCTACCTTCACCAGGTAGGAGTAAGGTCTGCGTACACATTGTCCTCCCCAGACCCCACTTGTGAGATTATACTGGGTTTGTGGTTATTAACATAATTGAACAAATGTTCATTAAAATATTACTTCAGAAGAAGGTTCAGGAATATCTTATTGCCAAGACAATTTGATGTTCCCTAGACTGGATTAGGAATGAAAAGTCTTCCTCCAATATGTCGGAGAAGTGATGAAATTGGATACAAAGTCACTGTGCCACCAGAAAATGTAGTTCTGCTAGTTGGATACTGTTGGATACTCATGACAAAATTGTTCAGATTTGAGTTGGATTTAAACAGACAAAATCCAGATTATGCAGAAACTCCGTAGTGTAGAAAAAACTGCAGAATCATCGCCTGGAAGATGGAAAATTCCCTGGAAAATAACTGACGCGTAAATAGATTTCGCTGGAAAATTCCTTCCTTGACTGGTGCGTGAGACCAAGTGAGAGTTCCTTTCCCGACGGGATTGCTGGGTGTTGCTTGCTGGACGATGCATGACCTGGTGATGGTGCTGGTTTATCGCCTTATGCACAACACCCTCGAAATTAGAGAATAACTAAAGCAACAATAATGACCACCGGACAATTGCACGCCGCCTATTTTTCTTTCTTCCGGAGGTTGTGCAGCGACTATTTCCTAACCTTGCTCTACTACTATGTGAAAAGTGAAACATACACGGGAGACAGAATGTTGCGTGATAATTCTTCTAAGCTAGTGGATGTTTAAACAAATATTCCCTGATTGATTCTAATTAATATACACAAATTTTCACCCAATATTCTCAACAGTCATACTGCTAAGTTACAAATTAATCAGGATCAAACCTACATTTTGAACATATGCCCTACCCTCTTAGCTTCAGAAGGAAAAGGGATGAAGGGGGGGAAAATATTATAAAAGGAAGAAGAGTGATTGAGTAATGGAGTGGAACCTACAATAGCTCTTTAAGGGAGTGAATGTGCCCTATTTGTCTTATTCCATAATATCTTCTCCAATAAACATGAACTTGCTCTACTGCTAAATGGGGCAAAGCAAACATATAATTAGGAAATGATTTATTACCTATCTAATAGTTCTTTAAATTTCATTAACCACCTGATAATACCTAGAAACTTATTTGTTTATCCACATTTTTCATTAATCTTTGATATGTTACTGAAGCTATGCTTTTGTTATTTTAGATCATTGCAGGTATATGTGTACTAGTTTGGGTGGTAAACATTGGGCATTTTAGTGATGCTGCCCATGGTGGCTTCTTGCGAGGTGCAATACATTACTTTAAGGTATAGGATTCTCATCAATAGCATTTCTAATCAGTTTGTGCCTAAATATTGTAAGTTCACAAGTGGCTATTTTAATGTTAAAGTACCGCTACAATAAAGCTTTATGAGTTGGATAGTAGATCTTACCCTCCTTATTTATTAGTACAGAGGTTTTTCGACATGATTGGTTTGTTTCAGTATTAGTTTTTGTACCTGACTGATTTTGTCTCTATTAGTTATTGTACACTAAGTTGCTCGCACTCTTCACTATCGTTGCCGCACCCGTGTCGACAGGACATGGGTGTGAGTGTGGGATCCATACTGGATCTGGTCAACCAATTTTGGGTACTTTGACCAAAATCGATGGAGAAATTCGGGATAGATACATTGGCTTTTGAAATAAAAACAAAAACTAGGGTGAAATTGAAGAAAATGGAATATCTTGTATATAGAAATTTCTATGTTAGTCCTTTTCCTTTTATCTCCTTCTTGGATTCTCATCTTGATCAATATTTTCTCTCTCATAGACCTTGTAAGTTTTTCACATAATTTCTCATAATTTAGACATATTTTTATTACTCTATTTTTAAATATTTGAATTATTTTTAGCCGAATCCCATCTATACATGGATCCGTACCCCCAAATCTTAAAATTCAGATCATGAAGGATCTGACAGTTTAGCCCTTTCATGCTTACTATAACTAGTTATTTCACTTTTCTATTAGTGGCTTTAACTAGAACCTCAGCTCTATTTATTAGTCTGAGCAAGATACGACTTATTTAAACTGAATATTTAAAATGAACAATTCATAAAAAGAAATCTTTCTATGGGATTACATGTTCAACTTAGATTTTACATGTATCAATGTCTTGGCATATGTTATGTAGGAATTAACGTATTGCTCCTGCTTTAGAGCATTATTTTCAAAGGTGTTTCTGGGTAAGTCTCAAGGCAAGCCTTGGGGCGATGGGGGGGTTAAAGACATGCATTGAGGTGGCCTATGAGGGAGCCGGGGGGGGGGGGTAATGTGGGGCTTAACTCCCAACCTTCCAGGCATTCACTTAGTTGTTGTTAGTTTAGAGATATGTAAATAATGTAGTCTTATCCTACATTGGAATAGGAGTAATATGTTCTTGTAGAGTATAGCTATAAATAAGTACCTCTTGTATTATATTGAGTATCTAATATCAATAATATATTTTCTCCCGTGCTTTCTCACATGGTATCAGAGCTTCGGTGAGAAAAGATCGCTGTGCGTCATTCCAGCGACATCTGGGAAGAGAGAACTCAGTCACCGTGCAATTTTCCGGTGCCCTAAGTGACTGTTTGCGTCAAAGTCACTATTTATCAGTGTTGTGAACAAACCAACACCACCACAAGGTCCGCCGTAGTCCCGCGACCAAACCCTAGAAAATCCTACCGGAAAACTCATAGCCACCGTCCAAATTTTCCGGTGAGATCTGTGCACGCGCCGGGCGCGTGAGACCCCTTACAGCCATTTTCCGACGAACTTCCTTCAGGAAAGCTTACTCGCACAACAATTCCGAGTCGACCAGTGCTATCCCTGACAAATTCCGACCACTTTGAGTTTTTTCCGGCAGATACAGTAAGATTCCGACGACTACAATATTCTGTTATTCTGTTTCAATGTTTCCTTACTCTGTTTCAGTGGATTACAATTGATTCTTTCTCTTATTTGGTAATAATTTGCAACGATGTCTTTGGGATTTGATGTTTTTGAGTCTAGAAACATGAGTTCTGGAAGCTCTAGTGTTATGATTACCTCGGAACATTTAATGGG